ACCACTTTTTTCTCTCCAGATTCGGGAAGATCTCGACAAACGCAGTCCAACCCCATCATAAAAAGAAATAAAATTGACCCGGTTTTGGGCCCAACCGGATTTCTGGCTGGACCACCAGGGGTCCGACTGGCCCGGTTGGATCTGGTCCGGTCCAACTTGCCGGTTGCCAATGCAGCCCTGGTATAATTACCCTTAAAATCTCATATTTTCGTTCTTACTCACTTTTTTCCAAATAGAAAACCCCTTCGGATACAAGTCCATATAACGCCCGGCCGATATATGCGAGCAGAACGCTCGAGAGTTATGTTTGAATGTTCCATGGGCAGAGTGCCTTGTAGAGATAGTATACATGGGTTTTGAAGGGCAGGAAGGGAGGTATACATGGGTTTTGAATGGGGTTGAAAGGGTTTTTGACCTGTGTTGCACGGCGTACGTGTACGCGGGTTGCGCGTACACGCGTACACGTATTCCTGTACGCGATACGTACGCGCGTACACGTACTCCCGTACGTGGGAATACGTAAAAAAAAAAAAAAAAAAAAAAAAAACATCATCGGAAAAATCTGAAAAAAAAAAATGTTATGGAAAATGGTATTTCAAACAACTTTTGCCTGAGACTCATGGCCAAATTCTGTACATAACTCGAGTGAAAAATCAAAGACACAAAGCACAAATAAATTGAAATTAAAAAATTTTAAAATTAGGAAAAAAAAAGAAAAAATAAAAACAAACTTCTGTAACAAATACATGTTATGCAGAAACATGATACAAACAACTTTTGCCAACATAAGAAATATTTTAAAGTAACATTCTTCCCAATCTAACTCGAGTAAGAAATTAAGAACTAAAAAAAAAGTAATATTATCATAATAATTAAAAAAACTATTTTAAAGTTTTCTTTAAGGTTTTGTATTTTTAAATCAAGATTGGTTGGGAATTCGGGTATGACTCCCAGGTAAAGGTTGTTTGTATCATTATTCTGCACAACATACTCTTTTTTCAAATTTTTTGGATTTGTTTTCTTTTTGTTTTTTTTGTTTTGTTTTGTTTTTTTACGTACGCGTACGCGCGATTTTGGGTTCGTACGCGTACACCGTGCAACACAGTTTTTGACGTCCAAGGGGTATGTTTCGGTTTGATTTTTTTTATTTTATTTTTTAATTCCGACTTTATAAGGAATTATGATGTGAGCCTCGTTCAAAAGTTCGTCGAATTGCAATTCTGCACAACATTTTTTTTTTAAGATTTTTTTTTTTTTTTTTGGGGGGGGGGGATTTTGGGGCCCCACCGAAGTTGCCACCAATTTACTGAATATAACACCCAGGCGAAGTCTCGGGTGAAGATGGTAATGCTACAGTGAGGCCACCGCGCGAACTATGCCAAACACCACAAGCTCTCCACGCAACACCAAGAGCGTGACTGCTTAAGACACCCTAGAAGCCCCCATCTCTTCCATGTGCTCGAAAGAGCGGCCCGTGGGAATGACACCCACAGCAAACTGCACGTGAGTCTGTATGTGTAATTGATTGATTGATGATAAAGGAAAAAGCAAACAGGAAAAAAAAACGCAAAAGATAAATCGAAAAAGACATAAAAGAAATGGGGGGACACCCAAATCATCTAACCCCCCTCTTTTCCGGGACCTATCTCACAGCCAGCATTCCCGGGATGCTGGTGGTTGACAGAGGAGGGTGTAGGGATGGAAGGATGTGGAGGTGTGTGGGACGCATTCATGTCTGCTTGGTGGGAGAAACCCCCTGAGGGGAGCTGCTCTTCTGGAAATTTGTTAATTTCATCTAAGAACCTTATGCTTGCTCTTTGACTCAATCATTTTGCTGTCACTCAGCGTTTCCACGTTGAGTGACGCGTGTATGTGCTATCTGCCATTGAATCTTACTTGCTTATATGCAGGTGAACCTACAAAAAAAAAAAAACGATTTTGCCCTTTAAACGGAGTTCCGTGGGCCCTGGACCCCCCTGAAGTTCAGGACCCCTGAGTGCTCCAAACAGTCCGAAAGTTTGGGGAAAGCTTAGCTACCCCCCGAATGTCCGGCCTGGTAAACGCTCGTTACCACAATTATATTTCAGCCATGGAAATGAAACGAATGCAGGTGGTGTGCTGGCAGAGTCAATTCACCTTACCTGGTCTTTGTTTTTGCTTGGAACACGATTTGTAATTTTCTCAAAATTCTGCACAACGTTTACCACCATCACCGTCATCATCATCATCAGCATCATCATCATCACAGGTACCGCATCATTAAATTTTTGAACACTTTTATAACTTCAAAGTCTTCAATACTAATAGAATGCTCAAATCCTCATGTCATCGGCGTTGTTCTGCATCTTCACTCTATGACTAGACAACCTGTCGTGCCCTTACCCAAACAACAAAATCGCACAAACACAGGAAAGAAAAGGCATAAATAGATTTATTTGAGCTTGGCCAGTCTTCATATCCCACTTATATGGATTTTTTTTCACCATTGCAATTGGCAATGGATGACAGGAAAAGAAGAATCGGCATAGGTGTGGCCTTGGTCCAGAGGTTACAGGTCGGATAGTGGTGGAGTAGAAGGCTGGTGATACATGGCCCGTTGGGCAATGTATATGGAGCCAAGGATCCACAAAGTGATGGAAAGGACTCAAATGGACAATGCAGCGTCAGCAAAGCATCAACAAGCACTGTACATCCAGATACATATGAAAATAGCACAATGAAGCGCAACGGAGGACTCAAAGATATGACCTCACCTATCAGAGACTGACGCGACATCCCATCATTCACCACACAAGTGAGAGAGTGAGGAGGGACCATATACACAGAAGAAAGGTCCTTCCTTGCACACACCCATGGGGGAGATACCACGGAAGAAGATCGGGGGAGGTGAGACGAAGATGGAGGTGAGAGAGAAGACCAAGATCGCGATAGCGACATCCAAAAACAGTTCACCTGCTGAATGTCCAATCAATGTCTGCCACAGAAATGTCAAACCAGATCCTGGGCATCACGCCCGATGTAACCTCTGCATGTAACCTCTCTCTCTCTCTCTAGAAGAAGAAGAAGAAGGAGGAGGAGGAAGGAGGGAGAGGAGATGGAGGGCAAGACGAAGAGGGATAAGAACATGTCGTCCTCCTCGCTGTCTCACCTGCAGGTAACTGCCGCCATGTACTAACTGCCGCCGTGGTCCCTGTGCAGGTCGCCGGTGTGGAGCGTGGCTATGGCACCCAGGTAAGTACCGCCCATGCAGGTATGGCCTCCTCCTCACCTCCTACCTACACCTCTACCTCTACAGCGCAGCGCTGTGCCGCGCTGCTCCAGCAGTGTGTCGGCCAAGAAGTGAGCTACTCGAACTGTGTGTCTTCCCAGCAGTGGCTCAGCTACAAGTGGCGCTGGGCCTCGCGGGTGTGCCTCCGTGTGCCTCTGGTCCTCGGCCAAAACGTGGCCTGCCTGGGTCCCTACCGGACGTCCAGGCCGTTCGTATCTGGACAAGAGCGGACCTGGCCCGAAAGGCCCTGCTTTCAGACGTACAAGGCCCAAAGTGCGGCCTTTGTTCGAAGAGACCAAAAGTCTGTTTGGAACTGCTGCCTCAAATTGAAAACTGCAGCCCTAAGGCCAGCTGTGGCCCTCAGGGCGCGCATCTGAGGGGCGTGCTGCCTGGGGGCCCCCGAAATGGGGCCCGTGTGCAGGCTCAGCATGTAACACCCCCCCCTTCTTATGAAGTCAAGCCGGGTCGAGGGTGAAGCTGACAATCCGATGGAGGAACCCGGACGCGAGTACGGCGTGGAGCCGAAGGTGCCGGCCTGCCTTGCTGTTTGCGTTAGTAACGTGCGAGGACATCGGTGGCTGTGGCCTGAAGTTCCACACGGGTCAACCAACAGTCAGCCTTATGGATACAATAAGAAAAATGTACTCGGCCGGCTTGATTGCCGTAACGTCGCTGGGAGATGATGTCGCTGACCTCCTGAAACCCATTCATGGAGGGGGGGTCTTGCGATCGTCACCTGGGAAAGTCTTCATGCTCCGCTGAAACGAACAGAGCTAACTACGAACAATGGAAAACCGGGTAGACGGGCAAGTGGGCTGGCACCTGAATGATGAATAAAGGTTCTTCGGGTGCGTCCCCACCGAGTGCCACAGTGCACCAAGGCCCCATCCATTCCGAAAGGAGCTTTCGAGAGATATCCTCTTCAAGGCTGAATTCCACGATGGAGACCCAAACGAGGTCGCCGACATGGAATGGACAAGGAATACCCTGGCGATTGGCCTGTTGGCTCATGCGTTGCTGCGTCTTCGACATCTGGTCGCGTGCCTTGACAAGAAGCTCTTGCATCCGTTGAATGAAGATAAGTTGGTTGTCACTCTCGGTCTTCCGTGGGATGATCGTGTCCAACAAAGACGTGACCGGCGAGCCATGCTCGTCAAAGGGCGACATCCCGATAGCCGGATGAATGGACGAGTTGTGTGCCAACTCGATGTCCTGCAGCCGCTCAACCCAATCCTTTGGTCGCGACGGATGAGCGTGGGAAGAAGAACCTGTGAAGTTTGACGCGCCCTCTTTGTTTGGCCATTGGTTCGTGGGTGGAGAACTCGGCTTGAGAGATGAGCCCGATTGTTTTCTGAGCGCCAATCAAAAGTCAAACATGAACCAAGTGTCGCGGTTGCAAACAATCTCCATGGGGTAACCCTTGGTACGAATCCAATCGGCTTAAAGAACCTCGGCCAACTCTGGTGCCTTAGAGTGATAGCAACAAGGCAAAAACATGGTGAACTTGGTGAGTTGACCGACCACCGTGAGAATCCCATCCACACCGGTCTTGTCCTTGGGGAACGACCCAATGATGTCCACGACAATCGCTTCCCTTCGTCTTAAGGGGACCGGTAATGGTCGCAACTCGCCGAACGGAGGATAGTTGCGGGATTTGCAATGACAACAAACCTCGCATGACTTGCGATAGTGTGTGATGTCGATGAGAAAGTTGGGCCACCAAAAGCGCTCGCGAAGTCGGCCAATTGTACGATTGACTCCAACGTGTCCGCTGGCAGGAGCATCGTGGAACTCACCAAGAAGCCGCGTACGCAAGTGAAGATCACTCGACACGTAAAGAAGATCCTTCCCCCGCGAGTGGACTAGCAAATAGCCCTCTTGGATGCGATAGTGCGATGGCACCGGATTAGGAAAGGAGCAATCCGCGCACTTGTCGCCAAACTCGGGGTCAACTTGGTAGTCGTGGATGAAGTTGTCCCTCAAGTTGTCGTCGATCTCCAACGTCGAGTAGACCGCGGTACAATGGTCCGAACGTCGTGAAAGAGCACCCGCAAAACAGCCCGACTTTCCTAGAATGTGATCGAGGAAGTCAAACTGGTCGATGAAAGTCATCCAACGAGCAAATGGTCTTATTGACCGTATCTTGGGCCTTGTACAAGAGCAACGAATTGTGATCCGTTACCCATCGAAATTGACTTCGACAGTCAAGAAAATGTGGCCACAACTTAAGCGCGTGTACAAAGGCCAATAACTTCTCCTTCCCTGTGTCGTCAATCGAATACACGACGGGCAATTTCTTACTAAAGTACTCGACCCGGTGCCAATCCATGCCATCATGTTGCTCGAGGACGGCACTAAAGCAGAGCCGGACTCGTTGATAGTAACGCGCGTCAGCAAAAGCGGCTCGTAGATGCGTAAAACCTCCGCGGATAGCAAGGCGGCATGGAGGGCCAAAAAGGAGGCTCACGCATCGTCACCGAAGTTGAATAGCCAATCCTCGGATTGAAGCTTGGTCAAATGGGCCGCAATCTTCGAATAGCCTTTGATAAAGCGTAGCAGCCGGCTAGGCCAACAAACGAGCGAACATCCGTAACGTTCTTCGACTTCGGCCACTCTTGGACGGCTTGAACCTTGTCCGATAATTGACAGATGCCCTCCGGTGCGACGAAATGGTCCAAATACTCCAACTCTTGCTATACGAATTTGCGACGGGGCATCTCCAACACGCGGCGAAGATGCTCGAGATGGTCCTCCAAGGTCCGACTATAGACGAGAATGTCGTCCAAGTAAACCAGCACAAACCGATCCAACATCGCGTGGAACGCGATGGTCATCACCGCTTGAAAAGCCGTCGGGGCATTGGTGAGGTCAAACGGCATGACAACCCACTCAAAATGCCCGTACCGCGTCTTAAACCCGGATTTGTAGCGATCTTGCGGACGTATCGAAATCTGATGATAGCCCGGCTTCAAGTCCAACTTGGAAAAATATTTTAAGCCGCCCAAACGCTCAAGAAGATCATCGATACGAGGAAAAGGCCCCTTATGGCTTGCGATAGTCAATGCGTAGGCGAAGATCCTTGTTCTTCTTCCTTACGAAAAGAACCGGCGGACCGTAAGGTCAGCTACTAGGGTGGATCCAGCCCTTGTGCAACAAGTCATCGAGTTGCACGTGAAGAACCGCGAGCTCTTCCTCGCTCATGTGATAGATGCATCCTTTCGATGGCACGACACCAGCCTCAAGAACGATCTATTGGGAGATCGGCCGATCCGACAACACACTAGTAGGAGACTCGAGATGCATCCTTTCGGCGGCACGACACCAGCCTCAAGAACGATATAATGGCCGATCGGCCAATCCGGCTTGCTGGGATGTGACGAGGTGTACTTTCATCACAAACGGGTTAAGCAATCGACTGGAGTGGCCTGTGATGAACTTCTTGGCAGTCGGGGTTGATGGGGCATTTTTGGTGGCGACGGTGTCAATGTCGTGGAGGAAGAAGACCGAACCTGCATTGGCAAAATTGTGGGAGCAGATCATGAGGGAAATCGGAGTGCATCGAATCAATGCGATCTGCACTGACAGTAAGGAAGTGAACAAAAGGGTGGCTCATATCTTGGAGTGACAAACTGACAAGGACATAGCAAGGATCCCATGGGTTCCTTGCGCTGCGCATTGCTGCAGCCTTCTTTTACGCGACCTCAGCAAGCTTCATTGGGTGAAGAACACGGTCAAGAGGGGCCACACCATCGTCAAGTTCATCAGAAATCACCGAAGCACAAAGAGTCTGATGATGACAATGGACGATTTGTCGTCCCTTCTTCGGCCTATGGAAGTTTTGGGTCGGTCTACCAAACATTGGCGAGGGTTTACAATAGGGAGGCGGTCTTGAAGGACATGGTTGAAGGCCGGAATGTAGGGAAGTGGAAGGCGATCCGGTGTTCCACGTCGCAGTTGAGGGCGAGATCAGATCTGGTGTTCTTCACATTGAGGAGCGACGACTGGTTGATATTGTTGAACAAGGTGGCCAAGGTGATGGAACCCGTGTACTGCCTTTTGAGGCGGATGGATCAATACAGTATTGCTCCCACAAACCTTGTGAAGTATGATGACATGATAGAGAGGAAGTTTGAACATGTCGTTCTGACGGCGGAGCAGCGGGGGAGCATAATGGAGAGAGTCAGAGATCGCAAAAAGATGATGCGACAGCCCGTCCACGCAGCAGCGTTTCTTTTGGACCCACGCAGGACAGATCCGAGATGGCTGCATGTCCAAGATGCATTTTCTTTTGAGACAGATTGCAAAAGAATGGAACAGGTCAACGCACATTGACATTTGGGGCAACCTGAATGCGTTCCACTGCAAGCCCACAAGGAAGGGCCGAAAAAGGAAAGTCCTCAAGACGTGGGACCCTACAGCGAGCGCAGATGTTGAGAAGAAGACACCGTCAGAGTCGACGTGCCGCAATTGCAGAAGATTGCAATCAAGGTTATGGGCATGTCGAGCACCGCAACACCGACGGAGAGGAACTGGGCTTCCATAGACTTCGTCCACTCCAAACGAAGAAACAGGTTATCTGTGACGAACCACTTCCCGACCCCGTGCCATCTTTCGTACCCTTTCTTTTGCTTGAATCATACCAACCCCAGGAAAACCCCGTTTTGAGTTCTTGCTTTCGGGGGACGCATTTTCCTTTTTTGAGAGTTTTTTTCCGACTGCTGAGTCCTGTTTTTCTTTTCGCAAAGACGGAAAATTCATGGGAATTTACGAGCGCCTTAGCGAGCGCACTAGGAATTGGGTTCGGTAGTTGGGAATTCCGGGATCGGCGATAGGCGGAACTTCGACGTGTCCTTTTTGGGTGTGTGAATGTGCTTGGGCGCATCAGGGAAAAGTCTCGAAATTTTACGTGAGTACGAATAGGCGTAGGATTTTGTTTTCCCGCGTCGCTTTTTCTCGCGCGGATATGGTGGTTTCAATTTTGAATTAGGATAGAAGCAAGATGTAACTGTTTCGGTGCCTTTTTTCCTTTTTGTTGACGGTACTGTGCATGCAAAAGCTTCCTCCTCTCTGTCCCCCACATCGCTCCCTCCTGCGCCTCCCTTCCCTTCTCCCTTCTTTCTCTCTCTCCCCGTAATTGTTTTTCCTTCTCCCTCTCTCTCCCTCCCGCCTTGCTTTCGCGCACCCATTTCCCTTTCTTGATCGTCTGAATCTTGGACCCGTCTTGCGCCACCTTTTGCGCCTTTTCTCTTCTCACCCTCTGAGTCTGGCGTACGACACCCGCTCGATTCCCCGATAACTCCCACTCGCCAATCAGGTGCGTGGATCGATAGGACCATCCTATCGCGCGACGAATCTGATTGGTTGAACCTTGAGTTCCGAGGGATCAACATGGCGTTCGTAGAGCACTCTTCTCAAAGTCTTCTCCTCCTGCTTCTCCTCTTACACCTCAACTTTCCTGTCGCCTTCTCCCCCTTCTATCTCCCCTGTTGCAACTATAAAACCCGCAAGCGYGTCCGCAAATCTCTCTTACGTTCTCAACTTCTAAGCCAGCTTCYGKGAAGCAGTGGCTAGGCAGAGTAGATTGGTGCGAGTCGGAAAGTCYTGTCGGGCYGACGATAGGCTGGCCGRTTGCGCGCTTGATSACCACGACGGACTTTGGGATCTGGGCGAACCGCGTCGAGTTTAAGTCAGCGGGGTGACGATCGCAGTGGTGGCAGTTAGCACGCGACGGCCGGGATCGTCGGTGCGGGTATGATGTTCGATGAGTGGAGTTGTGATTGGCCCSGGGCCATATTGGAATTAACGGCGAATGCGCCTTTRTTGTTGCAGATTCTTTTTCTGGTGTGAGTGCACGGCGGCAACGCTGAACTTCCTTCTTTTGGATTGTGTTATCTCCCATCTCGACTCTCCTCCCTCGCCTCCCCCTATCTTTGAAAGATGATGCGTCTGGATGATTGTCTCTCCCTTGCATGGGAATGAGTTTGCAAGATGTTTCTGTGTGAAAGAACTTCTTCCGGAACTCTTCCATTAGTTTCCTGGGTGGTCCCCCCCCCCCTCTATGCAAGGACCCCGTCTTCTTGTCTTGTGAACGGTGGATGCGTGTGTATTGTTCAGCGATCCATCTTTTTGCCCCTGAGCATATCTCATTTTCGTACCTTCCACAGTGAACGAACGTATGGAGATCCGCATTTCTTTACGTTGATTAGATGATTGTTGTTGGGATCTGGCTCGAGAATGCAAGAGTGTTTAGATCTGTAGCTTTGTTTGCACTACGCATGCCATCTGCCTTATGCTGCACGACATCAGCAGCCTAGCCACCAGGCGCCCCTAAGAAACAAGGCGCCCAGGGACCAA